GGCAAGTTTCGAAGAAATCATCCCTTGTCTTAACATGCAGAGCGGTGAATTAAAATGAAATTGTTGTTTTATGGCATGAGCATGGTGATTTCAAGAGAAGGGGCTGATTCAAATACCAATGTCTGGTACAGATCAGGTTACAAATGCTATAAAAGAAACACCCCTCGAAAGAGGGGAGGTCTGACTGAGGAGGATGGTCTCTACCTGGAGGAAGAAGATGTTGCCAGACTCAGAACATTATAAAAATGACAAATGTCTTACCATAATGTCTCTTTTTTTTGCCCCAAACTAAAACATAGGTAGTTTTTGATAAAGTTAACAGATAGCAATAATAGAGAGACTATTAATATCAAGTTTTTGTTCTAATGTTTGAATAACTTTCCAGAATTACTTTGTAGATTTTAGCTTTTAGTTAATTGTTAACTAAATAACTAATAGTTAACCAGACATAATGGTAGGTGCTGCAATTTAGTATAATAAATAATATATAAAATAGAAACAATTAATTCTTATCTGTGTACTCTTATGGAAGTTTTCCCCTGCTACAACACTTTTCTTCTGGAAGAGGAAGTCCTGATGGTGCGCTGTGGTAGGACCCAGAGGCATGGTTGGAAAGGCTACCTATGGAAGGGTCACTTTACGTGTTTATTACTGTCAGTCACCGTGTGCTGTTTGGGCTGCATTTACAGTGTAGTTGCCACATGCACAAATATGCATAAATCAGCCTTGACACAAAGAGCAGGGGTCGTCCTGGCCAAGTAGCTGCAGGAAGGAACATGAGGATGTGGAGCACAGGCTGTGCTGGCTGGGTAATCCAACTCAGTAGTTACTGGGGCAGCCTTTGGCTATCACTCTTTTTTTTTTTTTTTAGTAAAAACTTCAGGAAGTAACATTTTGAAAGTAACAGCCGCTGTGGGCTTTTTTTTCTTCTGCTCCTGGGGTTATCCAAAGATAGATATGGAGAGGAAAAATGAGCTGTGCAGCCGCTGTGGGGAATTATCTTTTGGATCAGAAGCAGGCAGGAAATGCTCAAAATAGGTTTCCAAAGATGGCTCCAGGCTTTGAATTTTCAAATTCAAATGAAAATCAGTTAGCTTCTAGGAATTAAATTATCAATTTTACTTCACAGTTGATAACAACAGGAAAATATAGAAAGGAGCAGAGAAGGCCTGTGTTAAAATCAGATGAATCCTGATGTGCCGTAGCTCTCTGTAGAACATAAACTGTGAATGTAAATTCACAAAAAAATGTATCTTTCAAGTTAAACTAGCTCATCTGAAATAGTCAATAAATGCAGAATTGTATCAGTTTAAATATAAACACAAGGAAGGTATTGGAAATGCATCAGAGAGCTTTACAGGAAACATTAATGCACAAAAGGCATTTTTTTCAAAGAAGGTACTCCTGTTGGCAGCCAAGAAAATAATTAAATATAACATTTTCCTGAAATAAAAACTGTAGCAAAACTGGCATTGAATAATGTTCCTCTGAAACACATTTTTTAAGAGGCTGCCTGGGAAATGACCAAGCAAGATGGCTTAATGCATGTGATTGTAAAGTTTATTAATGTTAATAAACACTTTTTTAAGAGAAAAAGGAATGGAGCTCATTACTCAGGAGAAATGAAGGCCCTTAGGGCCTTGGAAAGGATTTTGATTTATATATGGCTTTACATTCTAATATTTTCCCAAGATTGGAGGGAAAATGCAGCTGTAATACACATCATTGTTTAGTTATTATTTTCCTTAATAATTGCAGCTACAAAATATAAATTTGGCAGATTTATAGAAACTTCCCCCTTTAATTCTAAATTATTGATGAGGGACGATTTATGGTGTGGGCTATTCATTTAGATAAATGTACTAAATAAAGATATTTTTCAAAGCCCCAAATTTTTATTGATGAATAATTTCTCTATATTCAAATTCTCTATAAACAATATTTCTATCTGGAAGTTTTTATATTTTGATTACTATGAGGGGGGTGGACAAAGTAAAGGGATCAAACGCTAAATGTGCTCATAAAAGATGGAAATGATAGCCTCTTTTGAGACTATTCTTTTCCAGACCATAGTCAAAGCAATTTATTGCTAGACGAATATAGCTGTGGAGTAATTGCATCGACTTAGGCGTGTTGCCTAAGATCCTTAAGCTATGGATTTAGTCAGTGGAGTGAGACAAGCTCCTCCAGAGAATAATTAGTACAGGAACCTATTATGAATACTCAGAATTTGCTTTCAAAGACTCTATTACAATGACCAAACATGGGAAGAAAGACCAGTATGCTAATTTGGGCACCTGATGTTAAAATCCTAAAGCATGCAGTGAGTTCTGCCCTTTATGATTGTTTTTAAATAGTTATTGTAACTGCTTGAGCTAGTAATGGCTTTCTTATATTTAAGTCTGTTAACTTCTCTTGTTACAGACATTTTGTTTATGAAGTTACCTAATGTGTACACTGTACTAAAGAACAGAAATTGTTTCTATAATTTTCAGAATAATTCAGTTATGCATTCAGATTTAAAGCTGTGTGCTGATATCAGGAAATAGCTGAGGCCTGCCTAGGTGTTAGAATAGTATCTGCTTTTGCTGTTATTGCTGTATATCAAACTGCTACATAGCATTTGCCAGCTGTGGTAATCTTCTCTGGTTGTGTCTGTGACCAAAGAACTTCCATCAAGAAGGTTCTGGCTGGAGGCCATGGCAGGATGAAGCTGTTGGGATTCCTAGCTATCTTGTCTATTTCTTGAGCTGTTCTACATTTATCCAGCAATAATTTGTCACTTGATAGCTAGAAAGATAGTGAAATGCAGTTAGCAGTCAATGTCTTATGGGTGTGGGAAGAAATGTCTGTCATTGCTAGGTTTGAAAAGCTTGAAAATGTTTGAAAAGATAATATAAAATCTGAAGAGCATAGATTTGTGAGACCACAGAATTAACAAAGCAGTGGAAATAGTCACACTCCCCAGGATGTTCTCCTTCCATCTAGCCCAGGTAGTTAGCACCAGGAATGCTCTGAGTCTGCTCCATTGGATTTCTGAGTTCTGAGTAAAAGGTCAGATAATAACAATGCTAATGTGGTAAAAGACCTAAAAATAACAACTTGAATATAAACGTTTTTTCTTTTAATTTCACTTTTAATTACAAAGTACTATAGAATGTCTTGCGTCAGGTTGAATATAAATGTTTTTTCTTTTAATTTCACTTTTAATTGCAAAATACTGTAGAATGTCTTGCGAATCTGTAAGGTACTGCACAAACTGTGAGGCAGGTTGGTGATGAATGCTTTTCTGGATGTTAATGTAGTGAAACATAGTAGTTAAGTGTTCATTACTTCCTGTGTGCTGTGTATGAGATTTAATCTTGTAAGAAGTACCTATGCTTTGTCTCTTCCAGGATCGTCTTGACTCTTTAACTGAAGTAGATGATTCTGGGCAGTTAACTATCAAATGTTCTCAAAATTATTTGTCATTGGATTGTGGTATTACTGCATTTGAACTATCTGACTACAGTCCTAGCGAGGATCTGCTTGGTGCTCTGGATGATATGACCTCCAGTCAAGGTAAAGCAAAATCATTTGAATCTTGGAACTACAGTGAGATGGATAAGGACTTTCCAGGACTTATCAGAAGTGTGGGATTGCTTGCAGTGGCAACAGATTCCATTGCTCCTCAGTGTAACGAAGCTTTAAATGAGAAAGAAACGCATATACCTCTTTCAGCAGAAGATGAGGAAGGAAGAAAAGATGAGGAAGCACCACATGAGCTTTCACTATTACCTTCTTCTGAGAATTCCTCACTACCTAATGGACCTTGTTCTGAAAATGGTGTCTTATCAACTGATGGCAAAACAGTTTCCACGTTAGAGACACAAGAATGCGACCTTCCACAGCATGGTGGTGAAAAAATCAAACAGTCTCACTGTGAGAACTCAACTCCTAAGAGGTCCATTAGAGACTGCTTTAACTATAATGAAGATTCCCCTACACAGCCAACGTTGCCAAAAAGAGGTTTATTTCTGAAAGATGATACATTTAAAGACTATATGGAAGTCAATGAATTAAAAAGACAGATCTCTCAGATAGTAAAGAATGAAATGAGTAGAAGTACACCCTCATTGTTAGACCCACCAGACAGGTCCAAGCTTTGCCTAGCTTTGCAGTCACCCTACACTAACAATTTGTCTGCAGTTAGTCAGTCATATGATTGCTTGAATAAAATAGATGATAGAAATCTTGAGTACACAGTAAACAACCACTTTAAGGACAGTTCTGTAAGTCTACGTAAGTCTCCTTACTACATCTGCAAAGAAAAATCGAAGCAGAAGAAGTCTCATGACGCTATAGAGAAACTGAAATCCAACAGAACACCTGGTGGAGTGTGTAAAATGGGGCCACCCATACAAGTCAAAAAAAGAGGACACTCAGGTCAACAAAATGGAGTTATTTCTTGCAACTCTCAGTCTCTGGAGGGGACAGAAACAGATGCTACTTCTACGTCATCAGATTCTTGTAACCAGAAAGATCCAAATGAGCAAACAAAAGATAAAACTGAGCCTTTTAGTTCACCAGTACTTAGTCAGAAGTGTACTTCTCCAGTTGTTTCTGAACTTAACAACTCATCACCTCTTCTTCCAGCCAGAATGATGAATAAAAGTTATTCCTCATCACCAGGTTCTGTTAATACAAATGGTAAGGATTGTGATGAGGTCTGGTATGGATCTGATGAATATTTAGCACTTCCTTCACATCTCAAACAGACTGAAGTATTGGCTTTGAAGCTCGAAAATTTGACCAAGTTGTTGCCACAAAAGCCCAGAAGAGAAACTGTTCAGAACATTGATGACTGGGAACTGTCAGAAATGAACTCAGATTCAGAAATGTATCCAACATACCAGATAAAAAAGCACAAAAAAGTGGGTAGGATTTCACCAAGCTCTTCAAGTGATATAGTATCTTCCCTGGGCGACAGTATTGAATCCGGGCCTCTCAGTGATATTCTTTCTGACGAAGAACTCTGTATGCCTGTGTCCTCCGTTAAAAAATACATAGAAGAAAAGTCAGAAAGGACTGCTGTCAATCAGCCCACTGAGAATGAGATTTATGGTTCAAGTAAATCAGGTTTAATTCATCAACTGATGCAAGATATACAGCATCAAGAGAATTATGAAACCATATGGGAAAAAATTGAGGTAAGGCAGTAATACTGTGTTGTTATGCAGTTTTTTTGTAAGCCTATACATGCAGATGAGAGTTGCTTTCTTGTTTCATTTTAATGATGAAACAAAATCTCATCTGGTCCAGCTACTTTGAGTTGAAAATGGCAGTGGACATTGTCATTATAGTACTCTGTAGTTATCTTTAACTGTACAGAATTTGCCTGCATTATTTTATCTACAGCAGTGTCTTTAAAGCTTGGTAAAACATTGTTTTATCACTGGAGTTTCTCTTCATAAAGAATCAGGTAAATTATATGTTATTTTGGGGTGAAATGAAAGATAAACATTAGAAAATCAAGGATCTTTGTTATATTTGGATGAAGTGATGCTTTGGATCATCTGTCTGTTTTAAACAAAACCACTTTAGCCCAGAGATAGGGGAATCATTTTCTTGATTCCTGTTGTATCATGAACAATAAAAACGTGTCTTCTTAATCAGTTCACTTTCCTAGCAGTGATTTTACATTCCTCCTTTCTTGCACCCCCCAGGGCTGCTGGAATTAAGCATAGGGCTGATCTTTGGGGATTTTTTTCCTCAAGTAAATGCTCCTAACAATGGCAATATGTGGTGCAGCACTCCCGTTCATCTTTGCAGAAGATGGGATTTTATCCTTGGCTACTGCATCACCCCTTCAGCTCTTCACTGGGAAAGAAAAAGGGGTTGTAATAGCAACCACAGACCTTTTAGAGAAGAGGTGAGCTTTGGAAAGAGAAGGAAGCTTGATGAAATCTTCAATTGAAGACCGGTCCATCTAAATAATACAGTTTTTACTTTATATTCTTTTATATTCTTAGGGTGTTTTGGATTTTTTTTTTCTTTTCTTCACCCTCATGAGTTTGTATTCCTGGCCATTGTGCAAGAGTTCTTCTGTTCAGAACATTTCATGTGCATCTTCAGTAGAGTTTTGTAAAATGGGTGTTTGAGGAGGAGGAAGCTCCATCTCTATCGTGATGCCAACAGCTTTTGAAATTGACAGAAGATGGGATAAAAAGTGATCTGTGTACCTGAATTTCAGATCTGGTATCTGCATAATCTTCTGTTTTGTCAAGCTCTGTAAAAGCTTTGGAAATAACAAGGACTTGGTTTTGTAAGTTCACTAAACACTTTTTATGATGTATGATCTCAAAAAAATTTGAAGATACTGAAAATAATGACCAGCAAAGGGTATTTGAGATAGAAATGTTTGAATATAAAGCCAGGATACAAAACAGAGATTTCTTTTTAGAGGAGGGAGCAGCAGCTATCAACCTTGGAACAGTTGGCTCAAAAGGGTAGCAACTCAATGATTTAAGTCATTCCCTTCATCCTGATGGCTGTTCTTCATCTTGGTGGCTGGGGATCACCTTCTGGACTCTAAAGAAAGAACTGCCTTCGTAACTACAAGTTGTTTTTATGTTTAAATCTGTATACTGTTAAAATTAGTCAAGATGAAGCTGGCAGATACAGTTTACTCAAGCAGTAAATCCCATCAAAGCCACTTGTGAATAAATAAGATGCTCTCTAGATGCAGACAAGCATCCTTTTGGCAAGAAGCAGGTGGCAGAGAAGCTTCTTGCAGCACCCTCTTAAATCATCGTACTTGCTTTTCTCAAACTTTTTGAATGGGTTAACCCCCCATTTTCAGGGTCATCTATTGTTGTGTTTCCCTGCAGCTGCAGGTTGGTTCTGCTGGAATTGAGGAATAGGAATAGGCTGTAATTGCTGGCTGCAGCTGTAAACACCCAACTTCTTTCCCCATACCCTTCTTCCCTACGTGGCCTGCAGAGAACAGATTGAGCTCCTGGCAGCAATTAAAAAGTAGTTGGCCATCCACTGGCCAGAGTGAATCCTCCTAGCCAGTCATTAATGCTTCATCTCTTGTCCTTGAGGAGCTTAGCTACAGTTAACATGGCTTTTACTACAACTTCTCAGTGTTTCTGATTGGGATCTCTACTTGAGAAACGCTGAAAATGGTGTTTGAGAATATCCCTGTCATGTCTGTTATGAGAAGGGACTCAGAGCAGGAGAAGGGCTTAAAGAGAAAGAAGGCCAGGTGCTAAGAGCAGGAAAACAGCAGCTCAGTGATGAATGTCCTTAAAAGCAGCATACAAGAAAGTATCATATTTATTTAATGCAGAAAGATATATACTAGCTATACTAGTACATCTTAAATATGTACTTCCTGAACGGTGTATAAAAATAAGCAAAGGAAAATTTTTGAAATGTTTTGCAAAGCAATAAGAATTTTTTAAAGAAATCTGATTTTCACGAGCTGCTTGCTTAAGTTATCCCATTTTCTCTAGCAATTATATCTTATTCATCATCATTTTTTTGGATACATGAAATATTACTGAGATGATTTTGGTGTCAGTAATGTGATGATGCCTTGTTGAGCGACTCTCTTTAATTTGACATAAGACAGGAAAATCGAAAATATATTATGAACTACTGTAAACAAAACCCAGTTCAAAGATCCCATACCTGAATCACAGTCAAGTTCATTCCTTTGCCTGATTCCCTAAGCAGAATATCAAATGTGCCATTTCTTAATTATCTTCATTTGGCATTTATATTCACGTTTTTATATAATAAGCCTCCAACCCCAAAAAGAAATTTCTTAATTGTATGAATGCATGTCTTAGCAATAATTCAATACTATTCTTGCTTGCGTGGGTTTTTTTTGTTTGTTTGTTTTTCTAAAAAAGTCAGGTTTGAAATGAGGATGGAAGAAGCATGCTTATAAACATTAGTAATCCAGTTACACTGCTGCAAATGTTTAGCCCAGTATATTTTATTTATGAAAGTTGTAAGAGAAGTTAAAATAAACCATTTTTGTTTGTTTTGAAAGAAAAGCAACTTTGAAATGACATGCAGCTTGAAAATCATTGGAAGTTGTATTTTAGCTAGAAAATAGTGCAAACAAGGAAGCTTCAATATTTTATAATGATGGGAATAATTTTGAATAAGTATAAATATGGTTGCATCTTGATAGTAAGCAACTAGTCAAATCTTTGCTAAGGCATTTTTGAAGCTTTCTCCATTGTCTCAAATATACTGAGGACAGTCTCGCAGAGGAACTGTTAACTTCATACTTCCAAATCATGCAGATACGCTTACCCAAATACTGTTGTAATATGACTATATCTTATTTTGATTAGTTCGCATTATCTGTTTTGTTTGATTGGGCCAGGTTGAACATTTTCTTGCTTTTGATAATTGCTACAGATTCTTGTCATAGTTTGTATTACGCTGCGCATAGTTCTGTGGTGCACACTTCTTATGTCTGTAGTAGTAGGTACCTCCATTCTGTGGCATGTTATAGTTTCCAGCAGTTCCATGTGTGTTTCATAAATGGGATTTTGAAATTAAATGCTGGAATAATTGACACAAAGTTCTGAATGCTCCTCACATTGCAGAGATCTTGTGCTCTGAAAATGATATTAATGAGCTTATGGTAGCTACCTCAAATGAATCTTTAGAAGACAGATTAAGCACTGTAGTTTATTTTACTAACTAGAGGGAAAAAGATAAAACATCATTCTCATAGGTAAAATTAACACAGTTCTTTGTAGTAAGATGATTCTCATTTCTCATATTTAAAAATAGGACTCTACAATAAGTAGCAGTTTGGGGATTTTTAAGGTTCACTTTATGTGAGAAAACTAAGCTTTCCTTAAAGACTTAATAGAAATTGGATTTTATTTCAGTTTTGTATGCAAACTGAAAAATGGGAGAAGGTGATCCTGAACTGATCTAATGACCATACATTTTTAAGTGTCTCACATGAATAAAATAAACACCTTGTTTGGCCAATTTTATCTTCTTCTCTAGCAATATTAGTCTGACTATACTGATATCCTGATGCTGTCACCTGTGGTTGGCGATAATCCCATTCTGTTTGATTTTTGAGAGGAGCATTGTGAAGAGTAGGAAGGTAACCATTTGCAAGAGATTCCCTTTCAATGAGAATACACTTGCTTTGCAGGCCTCCAGGCCTACTGTGTGGAGTAAATTGCTGAATTTTTCCAGTTATACAGACTCACAGGTTGATTTATCGCAGGCTCCATTTCTGCAAGAGGCAGCTGAATTTCCTCTGAAAGTAGCAATTTGATGTCTATCGATCCTAGCTTTTCAGCTCACCACTTTTCAGGCATTTACCATCCATTTTGTTAGCGTGGTGTTCTGACTGGAGAGCCTACGCAGCCCTGGCTCTGGAAGCCACCTTGCTGCTAAGGGAATAATGCTGTTTTCCTTGTTTTTCCGCTATCAGTGCACATTCCAGGGATCCTATACAGAAGAGCTGGACAAGGGCCTAGTTAGGGACCTCTGCACAAATCCTCTTTTCCCTTCTGAGGCCTGAGGGGAACCTGAGGCCTCTGCGTAAGGACACAGTGGAAAGACGTCTTCCAAGTTATTGGAGTAGGGCGTTAATTTGCTGTCTAGGAAGAACTAAGGATCGCTGAGTTTTGAAGAGAAAGATCTACAGAAAGGAGGGAGCAATGTTGTAACTAAAGTTGTGATTGTAACAGCTTGTGTTTCTGGGTGGAAAAGGTAGTTACATTTTTCAGAGAATGCTCACAGAGAGGGCAACTAAAGGGTAGGCTTCTGTGAATGGTTTGATGGATTCAGTACAGCAAATTATGTGTTGGAGATATGGGTGGGAGTCTGTCTGGACTGTGAAGACCTAGTTGGTTAGGAAGTACTCAAAGCATTTGGAGACCTGGTTAAAAGGGGGAAGGAATTTGTGTTGTTTGGGTTGAAGGGGACAGACTAAGAGCTGATTCTGGGCAGAGAATGAGCTGGAAGCACCACATTGGTACTGTGACGATAGCTGAATTGCTTTAGGGGAAGCCAAGTTTATTTGTGCTGGGAGGTGATTTTCACCCTTAGAGGAAAGGGCATGCAGAGGACAAGTGATGTCTGGACTGAGGCAGTGCCAAATGAATAGGAACTGTTAATATTGATGGCATGTGAGAGCAAAGAAGAAATGAAG